ACAGTAACGAGACCCTATGGGAGCCTAAACTGTCGTGGTTGTAGAATTAATTTTTGAACGCGGAGTTATTGTAAGAACTGATATTTTTCCAGATACCCTTCCGTACAAATACCCTTACTTTTCTCCTTTGAGTAACAGTTGACCGGAAGTCTGCTAGGTGCATGACCGCGTTTCGATTATAATTTCTGTCATAAATACACTGCGCACGACGAGATCTCAGTTCCATTTCCGTTATTTCCTATGCGGTAACACTTTCCTTGTGCACAATTAACTCCACACCTTCTCCAGCAACGTAACTAACTTCAGTACACTCCGTTACAAAACTCGCTGTCAAATGCAGAATCTCCATACCGAGGATACTTCACATCAATACAACATCGCAACACAAGCTTTAATAAATTATTACATGAAAAGTAGACTGCAAAACAGTCCGTATTTTTGCGTATTCAACTACGCGCGAGCAGTCAAACAAAAGGTCTGGAACGAGACTTAAAACAGAGAGCGAGACTGGGGAGAGACGCTAAAAATACGGACTGTCCGTTTTGCACACAGGGTCCAGAGGAGTTTCGTGTGAATAAATGAATTACTTATTTTAAGTCTCACCTTGAAAAATGTCTATACCTGTCGCTTAGCACGATTAATTAGCCCAGTGGGATCTTTATAAATCTACTGTAAACGATTTCTTCGCTTCTTATCTGACCCAGATCGACTTTTGAAAATCAATAACCGCAAGCCATATCCTCGCTGGCGCACGGCACGTTGCTGTAAGCCGATCTTGCGAGCCCTCAGTCTCTTGGTTTGCGGTCTATAGAATGTGTAACGAAACTGTAATTCGACGGGTTTTGATGTTCTAACGACAAACACATCTCCTCTAGCCTGCGTGGCAGGCGTTTTAAAGGGAAGGGAAAGGGAGTTTTGGGTGCGAGAGACACGCGAGGAGGGAGGGAGGGAAACGCCTGTCAGGAGACCATTGTTTTTCTCGTTTTTAACATCCACCAGGTGAATGTTAAAATCCTGATTGGTCCGTCTTCAAAACATGTCAATCACAGCCTTTATACCTTAATCCGATTGGCTGAAATCAAAATCACGCTACTGAGTAACTTAATTGATCTTTCAGTTATCATTTAAAAATATGTTGTTAGTGAGGCGTGATGAGATTTCTGTATGGAATTCCTGGGACGGAATTCATCGTTTTAGAACGATTAGAAACTGAAGGCATCTATTTCAGCTTGAAAGGAGAAGAGAAGAAAGCAGTTAAAAGACTCGTATGAAGGAAAAGACCTGTCAGCTAGATGAGTTTTGCCGACTGGTTTTGAGAAGTCTTGTCTCCCAACGGCTTGTTTTACTGACTAGAAGAAAGAAAGGAAAAATCATGCTGCCTGTGTGCTTGTTATCTGCTGTTTGACCTCAGACGCCTACCACGCAGGCTACGCTTCTAAACGACCAGATTGTTGAAGACAAAGCGATCTATAATTCAGCGATTTTTGGTTTGAGGACTTCTTTCTGCTGGTTATAGACGTTATAAAGCCGGCAGGAACTCACTTTAATAATAATATTGATTGCAGAATTAGCCTTATTGTAGATCTTTGAAGTTCAGCTCTTCTTTCCCAGCTACCAGCGTTCTTTTGTATGCTCCGCTGGATCCAGTTCGAGAGTCAGCAAAGTGTTTGTAATTAATTTCTCCTACAAACATTGCATGCAAGTTGGGAAGTCCAACACGATACCTTCAGCAAAAACGTAATAGATTTATGCTGGATTTTATATAAGAAGCCACACATGGTTGCGACTTTCTTTCTTCAACGGACGACTACATTTTTAATAGGACCTTCACTTCAGACTTCTTGTTTAAGGAAAACAAAAGAAAAATAGTACGCGAAATACGACTTAAATGAGCGCATCGCGGCCAGACTTATTTGACAGCTAGTCATTCACAGTTGCGTTATTTTTGCACACATAATTAGTAGGCGGGATGGCGAAAACAATGGTTTCCTGGCAGGCGTTTCCCTCCCTCCCTCCCTCCTCCCGCGCCCCTCGCGTTTCCCTCGCGCCCAAAACCCCTTTCCATTCCCTTTCAAAGGCCTGCCACGCAGGCTACATGTCCTCTGGACACCGTGTTTTGCATACGTTATATTCGTTCGAATTACCCGCTTCTCCCAGCCACGGGCAATTCCCATTGGCTAAAACTCGATGCAAGCTGTCACCAAGCTGTCAAGTAATGTTTTCAACAAGTCATTCGCGATATTCCGCACTGTGATGAATAAAATGTTGTAAAATGACGTATGTTGATTGCCTGGATTTGCACGCGCAAGAATTGGGATTTGTTTTAAAATCGGAGCAAAGGGAAGCTTTGGAGTTGCTGCTCAGGGGAAAGGAAATTTTCCGTGTCCTATCAACAGGATTTGACAAAAGCCTTATTTATCAGATGTTTGTTCATGAAAAGAGTTCTTCAAGTTCCGTGCAACGGCCGACAGTCATTGTTATCTCGCCTGTGTAAAAAAGCTGGGGGATAGACAACACACTACTTTTACCTCATGCCAAAATACTGCTTGTTCCAATGAATTGTTTTCTCTGTCGGGAAGATTATGCTTTGGAGGAAAACGTTTTGACTGAGCAAATGTGAATTTTGGCCGCTTATTAAATATATTTCATACTGAGAGGTCGTGACACGCATATTGATTTTCTCTGGGCGGCATGATTTGCCTTGTGATGCAAGAGCATTTTCTTTCTTGGCCCGTTTAGAAATGCAGAGCTGATTAAGGGTTTTAGGTTGTTTTATTTCTCCAAAGTGCCTCCTGGTTTTGAATAATTTTAAGCGATTTTCTTTGTGTCCGTGAATGTGACTTTTTCCTGCAATGTTTTGTCACGCTGGACCCAGCTCGTTAGCGTTTTTAGCAGGCTGAGGATTTTAAATTCTCACATATAGTGATTTACAGAGCTAAATCACCAAGAAGTGGATTGGAATGAGGGGATTTACTCATTCTTTTCAATCACAATAATTGTTCATTGTCAGTTGGCGTGTTCAGTTCTTCTCTAATTGGCAAAAGCATCGCCGTGCAGTTTCCCGGGACAGTTTCTAACCTTTGTTCCGCACGGAGAGCAAACTCTTGTGGAGAGAGATTCTCCTTCCTCGAGGACAACGAAAAGTTCGTTTTTCAGTAGGTCGGCCCATTTTGGTAACGTTTCTCCTCTTCTGGCAGGCGCAACAAAAACATTTTCCGAGCTTATCCATCCACTCGTAAAATTGCCGAACTGTGTTTTGAAACAACAGCCGCACATTCTTCAAGATTCGAAGCCAAGTGCAGACAATAACCACAGGTAGCCCAAGATCACTATGAGAGCCCTGAGCAACATTATCCTACTTAGCTAATTAATTATTCATACAGCAAGAAAATAATAAGACGTTGTATGGAGAAATATTCTTTGCTCACTAAATTAGCAAAATGTACATTGAATATCGCTTTGAAGCTTACCTTTAGCGTCTTCTTGTTTTTCTTTGTATTCTGACTGCACTTCAGACCTCTTAGGCACTGTTTAAGGCCTTTTTTGGAGCGACAGTTTTTCACCCGGATGACAGTAGAAAGAAGAGAAGAGAAGGTTGGCAAACCTCTCTTGACCGGCTCCGCTCTCGGCGGCGATAAATTCCGTGACATTTGCGACATGGAGACAATTCCGCCTGAAACAGATGTCCTGATAAATAACGCACATTTTCCATCATTCACATCGCCAAAATTCCCATTTCGAAGGTCCTAAATCGCCAACGAAGTGGGCAATACACGGCTGAGGTTAGGCGAGTCGAGAGCAGACCCGCAACGGACTCCAACCGTCAAGTCGACAATTTCAAACCGACGCGGGCTGGCAGGGTCAAATTGTTCCACCGTCAAAGGACAATTGGAGCATTTAGCCTACTGGGCACAGTAACTGATTTTTCACTTCTCACATTGCACTCCGGGGTCGCGGAAGTCAAGCATCGCGTGTGATAGTGACATGTAATATCAAAACATGTCGCGTTGTTGCATTTGGTTGATCTCTACTCTTCTTTTTAAAAATAGGTACGCAATGCGTACAGGTGTCTACTGCGAAAGTTCAGGTAATGGAGCAAAATAAGTGTTGAAATTTAGGTTTCCTTTTATCAAAAATTGGATTGGGTACTTATACTATTTTGTCGTATTGTTTGAGACCTATTTCAATGTGACAGTATGTACTGTGTGGTTGTTTTTGTTTTATAAAGGTAGCATTTGTTTTGCGATTGTAATATAGACGCTCGGGTATCTTGGCAAGAGTGTTTAAATGAAATACGATATTTACGTCAAACGCAATTAATAGGGGAGGGGGGGCGTCTTGTGCTATTTAGACAAACATTTTTGATCGTTCGTGTACCTTTTTCGCGGCATCTTAAATTCCGCATACAGCTTGCGAGAAGGTCTTTTTTTTAGACAACTTGGGTGATTTGTCTTAAGAAATGTTTATCAGCCAATATGTTATGTCAAGAGCCATAATTATGGCTCTTGGTTATGTACATTAGATGTAGTGCATGGTTCCCGAGATGACCGAATATTTATGTACTTTGAACGATTTTACTTGAGAAATGTTTGGATAGAATTTAAACAGGTACAATAAATGGTTCCTCATTTCTTTTGCATACAAATACACTTTATGTGGTGCAATCTGTTTTCTGTTGTTCGCCTGACGCACTATTGTATTTTCAGTTACAATAATTAAAGATACGAGAAAACCAATAGTTGAAAATACACTTGATTATTATAATATATTTCACAGTTGTACAAAGTAAATGTAAGCTTCAGCTATCATATTTTGTTTGTAACCTTAGAAAGACTATTAATATATTCTTTACTCGACATTTCTAATTCCGATTACTCTATTCTATAATTTTGAGAACTATCATAAAAATGTTATTATAATCAATTTTGTCAGCTTTTAAGATTTGCACTGACTACCACTGAAGTGTGATGGTATAGAAAAAGTGAAAAAGTTTTGTCTGACTATTTAGTATTCTCTAGAAGTTTGATTATGTGATTGGACTGTGTATTAATTTTCATTTTAATATTTTCAATTTGAAGTAATCTTTCCGCTATTTGATCCGTGTTGGAATGTCTGGTAAGGCTTATTCTGGACAATAAGCTTTCCATGACATCTGTCAGAGTAGTAAACCAGCAATCTTTTCCGTCTATTTCGGCGCAAAGGCGTGCAGACATTCCGTTTTCTGCCGCTTTAACTTTTTTACTAGTTCCACATGAAGTGCATTTTAGAACAGTTGAGCCTACTGCATGTGGCATTTTTTTCTTGCAAGACTTTATCTGGCTTGTCATGAAGACATTTACTTTATCAACAAATTTGAATTCTTGGATAACAATTTCCTTCTCAGTATTTGAAAGAAGCTGTGGGCGTTTTACTTCAGTTAGTTGGAGGTCTACGTTTTGGAATGTTGTTGTTGGTGTGGTACCCAGTAATGTCATTCCTGAATAATTCTTCACGCTAAGATTTTGGAAGCTGTAAATGTTTCCACTCTCTAGTTGGGTTAGCAAGTCATCCAGTTGTATAAAAAGTAAAGTGAAGAAAAGTAAAGTGAAGTAAAGTTGTATAGTGGAAGAACATGTAGTGCGATCTTCAATCACACAGTCTTCTATTACGTATCCCTTTTTCGCCATGGCGTTTAATGACTTCTTTGTTTCGATTTTGACCAAGTGTTAGGTGGCCTTGTACATTAACCTTTTGATTTCTTGTCAGAGTTTGGATTTCATTCAGTGTTATATCTGTCGCACTGGAGATTGTTTCCTTCGCTTCCCCTTGCTTTGTCGATGGAGCTGTGCACAGAAAGTTGACATCACTGCTGCTAGCTTGGACAATTGAACTTGTTTGGTAGACAAAGATTGTATCTTCTTTTTCAATAATATTGACAATTTTAGCTGGACTTTTTGTAACCTGGAAGTGCAATGCTTGAGCGTGTGAATTCTTGTTAAATCCAACCACTCTTGTGAATTTAGTTGGTGATGTTTGAAGGTCAAAATTGTAGTACAATTTTCCAGACCTTGCTTTTTTAATGAGCGATAATGAGTGAACGTAACCAACGTTACTATCTGCAATAGAGAAATAATATGGTGAGAAACACATATTAGAACTGGAGAAGCGGATATAAAGATAATGTAATGAGAGTGGAAGTAGCATTATGCAGCATGAAGCTGTTTGTTGTTATTGATCTGTAAACAGCAAAATTTAGGGAATTTTTCTTTATCAGACTTTTTGCAAATAAATCCTATAATTGTTATTAAATTGAAATAGTTTAATATATTACGTTAGTTGCAGTAATAAAAAAGTAGCAGATTTTGAATTTTTTAGTAAAAGAAGACCTTTGGTGCATGAAAATGTATTGAGTTGTATTGAATGTAATTTAGGTAAGTTGTGATGATATTGACCAATAGTAAATATCTAAGACTAATGTTTCTATATATTACGTACTTTTATATGTATCTTATTTAAGGAAACGCTTCGTGAATTTGCAAAGTGATGGATAATTTACTTGGCCTCTTACCTTTTCGTTTTGAACTCTCAGCTATTCTTCTCAGCTAATGAAAAAAAAGGAAGGGAAGGGTTTAAAAAATGCTTCAATAAAAAAATGTGAGATCTTATTATACCACCACTTGGAAATAACACATGGAATAATTTGGGCAAGTTACAACTTGCAATTTCTGAAAGAGTTTTTTCAATAGCCGTTTTTCTTTACACTCATCGTTTTCATTGGCCCTTCTTTTTCTCATATATGTCCTGAATTAATCATTTTTGTAATATTCAATGGCGGAAGAACTCTTCGATTCATCTATGCTAGTGCTGCAACTGTAGAGACATAATGAACCTCATTTATGTGGCCTAAGTAAATAGTCCTTTGTTCTCCTTGAAAGGTCACGCCAGGTTCAATTATTGTCCTCTCTGTAAAATTTTGATGAGATTCTATGATATGTAGGGTTATACCTAGTGCACTTGCTACAGCCCGCACTATGAGACCATCACACCATGTTCCTTGCATGGACATAGTGTTTAAATAGCCTAACCATGAATTTGCAACATTGCTCTCAATAAATTCTTCTCGGTGATCCCTAAGATACTGAATACCAGCATCTCGAATTGCAAAATGACAATCTGGAGTGCCACACAACTGATGTGAAACAGCTTTTAAAAAACAATCTCCATCACCGCCAATATCTAGTGGCCTTAAGCCGATCGTTCTTTAATCTTTGTGTTAATACAGCAAATGGCAATTGTGTGGGTCCTGGCTTCAGTTCAATATCACCGGAAATTAACAGTTTCCCTCTTGCTACACGAAATATATCTCGAAGTAGTGATGACCTTAATGAGACATGTAATTTACTCTCTTTTTGAAAAAAAAGGAATTTGAGTCAGAAATAATTGGATATCTCTTTAAAATCTTTCGTCCTGAGGAGCTAATCTTATCAAATGAACTGTTTTTGATTTCTTTGGTTTTCGCTGCGGTACTCAAGGAGACTACCTTAATATTACGTTAGCTGCTATGCTTCTAGATGAAGGGGGAGACAGATCCCTGAGTCTTAATTTTGGAGTTCTTCGAATCATTCGTTTCTTCCTTGACTTTAAAATCTTTTTCAAATTTATCCTAGATGGTTCACGGCTCCTACTTTTATACGCTTTGTAACCTCCTTCTTCTTTTTGTCTTACTGTTTTCCTCCAATTATTGTCATGAAGATCTAGTTGATGCAAGTATGTAACATATACATCACGACCTCCATCGCCCTTCGTCAAGTGCAAGCTCACCATATGTTGACTTTTGTCACACAAAGTCTCGAGAACATCGATAAATTTCATACGATACTTGTATTTAACAGATTCTGTAAAGTTTAAAGAAAATTGAAGATTTAGAACAGGAATATATGGAAACAGTTTTCTTGAAGCCAATTTACTCTTGTGAAATGTGCAAACTAATTGTGGCAAATCAAGTTGACATATTTTGTATTGCTGTTGCGCAAAACTGCAATTGCTTGCATTCCTTTCTGACTGCAAAACTCTGTAACTTTTACACATTTGGAAAGATCGAGAACATATGGAAGGTAAAAACGGTAACTAAAAGACAGTAGATTTGAAAACAACTCAAGGTATAGAGAAGAAAGTAGAAAATTTGGGAAACGAATATAGGAAAAAAATTCTCTTAAATCCAATTTATTCTTGTGGACAGGATAAAGATATTTTTTTACAATTGCCCACATTCCTTCCCGCCTACAAAACTCTGCCTGATCACTTACACAATTGGCGAGATCGAGAAAATATGGAAGGTAAAAACGGTAACTAAAAGACAATAAATACGAAAATAGCCCAAAATTAAAGTTAAAGAAACAAACATACTGTTCTGGAGAGCTCATAACTCTTAGTAAGCTCACTGCTTTTTTGCTTTTCTCTAATGAGTAGGACATTTTATTTGTATTCTGCTTTTGTAACCGTGCTAGTGTGCCTCGAGTTTGAGACCAAAGTGGGTCGATTTCTGCCGGAAGTGGGTCTCTTTTTGATCAAAGTGAGTCGCTTTGTGAATTTCTAAACATCTTTAAGGTTCTGTGAACAACAGACAGCCGGCGTTGTTTTATCGGGTGCTAGAAGAAAGCAGTTACGATTCATGACTCATTCATCGACCGATTAAACTTCTGCGAAGTAAATAACGCTCCAAAACATTAAATTTTTCCTCCAACTTTTTACGTGAAAAGTAAATTACAAAAACAAATTACAAAACTAAAACTTACCCTCAGCAAAACACGCTTCGTATATTCCCACTGCTCTGAAGTCTTCACCGCACGCCCGAACAGCATATAATGACTGCACTGAGTTACCTCGTTTCATGACTTGAGTTTATAGGGATTTATGTTCGGACATATTTAATCGCTCTGTTTCACTTGTGATTGGTTGAGATTGGAAGTGCGTTAATTTATTGATTACCTACGGATTATCGATTTTAACAAACCTTTTCTTCAGTTTTCATGATGTTCATGGCTTAGTGTCTTCTGGGCAAGCGCAGTAGACACAAAAAGCGTTTGACAATGATTTTTTATGTATGATTTAGAAAAAAATATTGCAATAAGAATTACTATGGCTGTAAACAGTTGTTAGCTATTTTTCTTCCCCTTTTCAACAAGTGGCAGTAAGTAGCAAGTTTGGGGACAGGATCTTCTGGCAGGTGCTCTTATCTATTGGGAGTGTTTTTACGGAAAGGAAATATGTCAATAAATATTTCATTGAATTTTCTCTTGGTAATTCTGCCACATTAGCTACAACGATTTCAAGATCAGATTATACTTCAGCTGCTTACAGCGCAAGCAAACTATTTCTGAAATATGAAGTCCAAATGTAGTAGCTATTTTTGTATTGATCGGATTTCTTGACGCTACTATTAATCATGGCAGAAAGGTAGAATGAATTTTTGTAATCAAATGATTGCATTGTTTTTCGTTGAACATGCACTTACAAAGTATTTCATTTTGCAAAACAACTTTCATTTCAGTCTAACAAATGAACAAAGGGCTGTGTTGAACTGCGCCTCATTGGGTCATAGACTAGCCGGCATTCAACTGTCGATTCAAAACATTAACACGCGACATGTTTTGATATTACATGTCACTATCACACGCGATGCTTGACTTCCGCGACCCCGGAGTGCAATGTGAGAAGTGAAAAATCAGTTACTGTGCCCAGTAGGCTAAATGCTCCAATTGTCCTTTGACGGTGGAACAATTTGACCCTGCCAGCCCGCGTCGGTTTGAAATTGTCGACTTGACGGTTGGAGTCCGTTGCGGGTCTGCTCTCGACTCGCCTTACCTCAGCCGTGTATTGCCCACTTCGTTGGCGATTTAGGACCTTCGAAATGGGAATTTTGGCGATATGAATGATGGAAAATGTGCGTTATTTATCAGGACATCTGTTTCTGGCGGAATTGTCTCCATGTCGCAAATGTCACAGAATTTATCGCCGCCGAGAGCGGAGCCGGTCAAGAGAGGTTTGCCAACCTTCTCTTCTCTTCTCTCTACTGTCATCTGGGTGAAAAACTGTCGCTCCAAAAAAGGCCTTAAACAGTGCCTAAGAGGTCTGAAGTGCAGTCAGAATACAAAGAAAAACAAGAAGACGCTAAAGGTAAGCTTCAAAGCGATATTCAATGTATATTTTGCTAATTTAGTGAGCAAAGAATATTTCTCCATACAAAGTCTTATTATTTTCTTGCTGTATGAATAATTAATTAGCTAAGTAGGATAATGTTGCTCAGGGCTCTCATAGTGATCTTGGGCTACCTGTGGTCCTACTGAAAAAGGGAAAATCCCCGCGGCCCGATTTCATTCACGCTACTTGCTGGATAGTACGGCCACAGCAATTTTATAGTTGCTTGTTATGAGAGCACGTATTAAGATAAACTGTTTAAATGTTATAAGGGTACAAATAATTGTTCAGGAATCCCATTGCTTGTATTTATTATCATTTTTAGTCGTTAAAAATGAGTTGTTTTTGTTGGTTGAGGTCTTCTGTTGTCTCTTAAATATGCTTCTCCGGTTACGCCCTTTCATAAAACAATTTCGTGACCTTTCAGTTTCTGACGCTCAGAGGCTCGTTTTCGACTTCTCGGTGTTTTGCTAGAAATCTGGAAACACGG